TGGATGCTTATATCAGAAAATTATTGTAATTTTTTAGTCTATTTGTAATTATTTGTCTATTATTTTACCGATCCAACCAGTGACCCAATGGTTAAACCAGTAACCCATTGACTCGGTCCCTTTGCCAGGTTAATGTCCAGGTCGAGTTTTAAAACTATGGTTAGGTCATCTCGGCCCAACCACCCAATCTTTGTCTCTTATTATTGATTGCTTTATTAATTGCTTTACAACATACATTCTACTGCTTTGATTGTGCATAATTAGATTGGTGCATCATCAGTTTGGCGTCGTCTGTGAAAAACGACTAAGTTTTCTACTATATTTCTATTTTTTCCTAACCTCTTTCAAATCCATGACAATTACAACTTGGTCAATGAATCAACAACCAAAGGATAATGACCCAGTTCGTCGGGAGGGGTCATGCCTATGCCTGCAAAACCTTTCATCGTAGCAAATCTTGTGGTTGGGCAACAGCTTCTAAACACAATGCAGTTGCTGGTGAGCCAAAATCAGTAGATTCTTCAACTGATGCTCGCCTCAGGAGGAGTCGTGCCTTATCTTGCAAGAGGGAAGGTGCTATAGTTTGTGCACTCAGGGCGCCAATGCGCCCCCCCCCCCAGAGTGGCGCCCAACGCCAAAGCACCCCTCAGTGCCAGGGAGTCCCTCCTTAATGCCTAGGCGCCCCACATGCTCATCTTCCTCATGACCAAGTACTACAACTCGAGGGTGAAGCCTCGCTCCTTCTTGCCTAGGGACTTAATCAACAAGAAAGTAATCTTGTCTAAGAAGGACTCTCAAGAAGGCAAGTTAGGCCCTAATTGGGAAGGAGATAGAAGTTGTAAGACCAGACACCTATAGAATTCAGAACTCTGAAGGGAAAGCTTTGACCAATTAGTGGAATTCCGAACACCTAAAGAGGTATTATCAATAGCGGGGTACAAGTCAGTGACTCTCATTTTATTTGTCATTTGTTAGTTCAGTTAATTTATTTTGTTATCTATTATTTTAGTTATGAAATAAAACTCTGTAATGCAAATAATATTTTGTCTAGAACACTCTTTCTTTCATTCGATAGAAATTTATAAACACCTTACAAAATTCAGAACATGACTTAACAACAAAAAGGTAGACAAGTAAAGTTAATAGTCGTCATACTCTCAATGATTGCTCACTCCTCGTTCTACTCTCATCAAAACTCTCCCCGTCTCCATCTATCACTGGTGCCTCATGACTTGATCCGAAATGTGTACACCCAAGTGCAAGCGGTTAAGTTGTAGTAATAATCCGGTTAAGTCCGGAGTCAAATCCAAGGGAACTATGATTGGTGTTTTGAAGTAAGCAATAATAGAGACCAAGTAATTGAAAATTTTGAGGGTTTGGAGTGGTGGGATTTCTTGAATAGAATAGAAGATTCTTTTCAAGAGTTTTCTAGACAAAATATAAGATAAATTCCAATGTAAAACAATCACTCTTTAGCTTGAGGATTAGAACATGTGGTTAATCATCCGGTTTATTATACTTGTGTTTTATAACTCAATTAACTCCTGTGTGAACAACAAGTTAATCGGAAGATAAAGATGGACTATGAGAATTAAGCACATGATTCCGATGCCTTTCTAGAAGTGGACAAGAATTGCCTGTGCCGAGATTTAACCCATCTACAAAAAAGTAAGTGTTTCTACAAGGCATCCAACCATGACATTAATGATCTATTCTTTAGATAAAACACGATAATAGTGAAGGTTGAAATGTATCATGCAAATATCACCTAGGTACTTGCTTTGAACTAACAGGTTTTTCCATGCAAGAGTTATCTGTGACATAGAAAGAGCCCATGGTTATACAAAGTACCTTAGCTTTGCTAGATACATTCAACCATTCAATGAACAAGTGAACTATAAAGCATTAAAGCATAAAAGGATTATACAAATATAACTTCCGGATAATTTTTACATATTCATCATCTCTTACTAAAGAGTGAATGAAGAACTACTCACTCTTCATGGCTTGGATGAAGTTAGAAAAGTGAGTGATGCTTATCTCTCCAAGTAGAGAGCTTACAAAGTAAAGTACAATAAAGGAGGAACCGATCTTCACCAAAGAATAAGTGAATCACGTTCCACCCTTCACGGCTTTGGTAAAGCTCTAGAAAAGTGGAAGAGTTTCACTCCTCTACGGAAGCTCAAGCAATAGAAGTGAAATAAAGTAGAAGAAAGCTAGTTACTCTTGGAGGGTTTCCACCACAACCAAAAGATGAGCTATCTCTCTTGATACTTGTAAATAAAAGTAAGTACAACTACAAGGGAAGTCTAAGCCTCCATCATGGTTGCCACAACATGAATGCAAAGACTTAGCACAAGTAAATAAAAGACTTCAACTATAAGGGGAGTCTAAGTCTCCATCATGGTTGATACAAATACAAAATGAAAACATAAACAAGAAATGTACAAGAACTAGCTCTCTACTCTACTTTACAAGAGAAAAATATTATTCTCTACTCCACAAGAGACATATTGCACCCCCTTGAAACTCCCACAATGGGGGTATTTATAGGCAAGGAAAAGGAGGGGGGGGGGGGGGGGGTGAAGGAATAGTGTTTGCCGCCCAGGAAACCCAACTACTATGCAGACAGTCTGTGGAGGACGTTCGAACGTGAGTTGATGTTCGAACGTGAGTCGACATTCGAACGTTGTCTTCTGTTTTTGCTTTAGTGGTGTTCGAACGATGTCTGATGTTTGAACGTGTCTTCTGTTTTTGCTTTAGGGGTGTTTGAACGCCAGATGGGATGTGACGCCATCACTCAAGTGGTCTTGGTCTTCTGTGGAAACCGACTTCCACACTCCATGCAAGACTTGGAGTTTTGCACTCATTACTATGGTCTTCAGTAAAATCATGTGGATGTTCGAACGGTAGTTGGCATTCGAACGTGGTACTCAAGTACTTCAGGGCCTGCCTTCTTGACTGCAACATGCCAGGTCTCAACAGTCTGGTCTCCTCAGAGTTCAAGTGGACGTTCGAACGTGAGTTGTTCTTCGAACGTTCTTGCTTTGTTCTAACCTTCTCCAATTTTGTTCCCTAATGCACTGGTGTTACACTCAAGTGTGATATTTGTTGTTCTTGAGCTTTTGTTCACTTTAGGTCTTGAAATGTCATCACTTAAACTCCATCAAAGCACAATTAGTCCCAAAAAGACATAGTAAAATGTTAATTTTGAGCACTAATCACCTCATATGGGACGAAGCCAAAGCAATCAATATCAAGAAAAGCTATTGAGGCCTTCCCCTTAAACTCCTCATAACCATCAATAAAAGTGCCAGTAACTACCCTTTCAGCAGCCTCTCTCCTCTTCTTCGTCTCAATGGAATAAGCCTCTGCCCTAGTGGCTCTCTCATAAGCTACTCGCATGTTTGTCTTTGCTATGTCATCCCTCTCCCGAGCTATCTATAGCTCTGTCCCAGCTCCTACGACCCTCTCGGGGGCCGCTCACAGCTTTGTCTCTGCTCTCGCGTAGGCAGCCTCTCTGTCAACCTCCAGCTTGGCGGTCCACTCATGGGACGCTGAAAGCTCAGCCTCAAGAGGTGCAGCTCTTTCATGAGCCAACCTCAACTGTTCCTCAACATCCTCTCATGTCTGTCTCTCCTCTGCTAGAGCCCTTGATGCCTCAGCAAGCTTGATGGTCCTCGAAAAAAGGCATGGAAAAGCAGCAGCCACCTACAAACATCCAAAAGGCAAAACATAAAAAAAAAAAAAAAATAGGGCAAGTGCAGGAATCAAGGTTGAATAGAAAGAAAGAATACATAGCAAATCCTTCCATCGTAGTATCAATAATGTCCTTTGGACCTTGAGAGCCAACATATCTAATATCCGCAGACGTCACAAAGTTTCAAAGCTGCCCCTTGGCTAGGTTCACATCCTGCAACATAGACCTGAGCCAGTGCTGGAAGTAGAACAACTACGTGGAGCTTCGATCCCTATAGAGGACCGCATAGGAGTCTCAACCCCTAAAATAGTACTAGGGCTAGCCCTATCATTTGAAGGGGCCGCATACTGAGAAGGAGTGGGGGGCACCACTGGATCTTGCCTCCCAGGAAACAGCATGGCCATCAGATCTTGGCCGAGAATAGAGGTATCAGGCTTCAACCTCTTGAGAGGAGGGGAAGATGCCATCCTAGAAGCATAAAGAGCCTTTACCATCACTCTATCAACAATAGTACCTATAGAGCGGCATAAAGAGAATTTACTCGCATTATCAAATTTATCGAAAGAACTAGATACCTTTCCTATTCTGTCTAGGGGAGGATTTGGAGTAACCTGATGGAGAGATAAAGGCCACAAAGTGCTTGATAGGATGATCCCTTATAGCCTGAAGTCTACTCTTCTGCTCCGTCGATAGTAGGGGCAAAGTTATAAAAAAGCCAAACATGTAATGAATACAAGAGACATGATAGTCGGGCATAAAGCAAGGGTAAAACTCATATCTAGCTTGTTCCTCGGAGCAATATCCCATCTCGAAGGCACTAAGTCATGATCCTCCTCGACAGCCCACTCATCTCCTATGAAGAAAAACCTGGACTTCCAACTATGACAGTTCGAGGGCAGTTTAGAGATCGGATCTAGAAGCAAAGCAGTACCATCCTTGATGAGGAGTAGAATTATCTAAAAGTACATACATTGCTAAGAACTCCTCGAAAGGGAGAGAAACATCCTCGCCATGAACCTGCCGCCATAGTGAAAAGAACACCAAAAATACCCTCCATCCATTCGTGGTCAACCTCCCCGGGGTAAGCGACAAGTGACCCAGAACTCGGTAGATGGACCTAGGTATGGGAAATCTCAACCTGCTTCCAAGACATCCTTGTAAAAGATAATCTCCCCAAAGGAGTTGTAGCAAGCCCGTTTGTCCTTCTCGGCCCGGCGGCACATAACGGTAGGAGGGATATGAAACAAAGATATAATGTTGGCAATGTCATCGTCACAATCTATAAAACTGAAGATAGTGGTTACCTTTGACCCATTAGTGTTAGCGACTCCCTTGCCCTATTGGGAAGTTGGTGCAGAGTTCGCCTTCGTACTCTTATCAAATTGGCAATTGCAAAAATTAGAGCCAATGTTAAGACAAAGTCCATATCAAAGGAACCACTAATGTCAAGAAAATGCCAAAACGATTAAGGAATAAAAGGCCAAGCAGAATCGCCTTACCTAGCCAAAAGGAATCACATTTTCCCTCTCTGAAAAAACTTAGGACACTGCCCTCGCTACTCAGTACGACTACTTATTGCTTGTGTCAGTGCCAGCAGCAGCAACACCTGCACCAGTGTCTGTGCGCATGCCAACGCCAAAACCCTTTTCCCTAGAATAGCCCAGATCGCCTCCACCTCCAGCCACGACAATGCCCTTCGCCCTAGAATCACCCAGGCCCTTTTTGGCGTCACCCATACAGCCTCCAGCCCTGGCGTCGCCCAACTGGCCCATCGCATTAGCGCCGCCTTTTGCTCCAAGGGCGTTGCCTACATCTTTGGCGCCGCCACCCCTTGCGCCCTTTTGTCCACCAGTGCCGCCTTGCTTGGCCATAAGGATGCCCATGGCATCTTCCATGGATTCCCTTGGTAGAAGGGTTCTCTCGATTGTTTAAGGAATGGAGGAGGTTAAGGAAACCTTCGACCTCTAGTCTCCAAGGAAGGGTTTTTGAGTGAAGAAGATGGAATCGAGGTGACTAAGGGCATATATATATATATATATATATGTAAAATACTAACCTTTGTAGCCCTCAGGATGGTTCCCTAAAGGAAAAAAGGGGTTTTGCGATGAAGATATGAAGCATCTCTAGATCTAATGGAAGACCTAATGGGTGAGATTGGGTGTGCTTGGATTCCGTTCACCCTAATCTCTGAACACGCACATAGTTATGTGTATATGACTTATATAAGTAGGTGAGTGTCACTTTCCCTTGAGTTCGACGCTCGAAATCAAAAAAATGTGTGTGTGTGCAAAAGTGCTCCCCAAGTGAAGAGAGACTTGCAATGTCATGTTTTACTTGGAATTTAGTATTCCAAGGTCATCTCCTTAGGTAAGGAAGGTCAAATTGTGGTGAATGTGATTTTGTAAAGAAATGAAAAGTGTAAAATCTTGTAGTTGTGTGTTTTGGTGAGTGGAGTTTTTGATAAAAATGCAATAAAAACAAGGTTGGCTAATTCGAAGAAGTCATTCCAATGGGAATGCCAAATCAACTCAATACATTATGATGAACCTAAATCTAACTGGGTCAGGCCCGATAAATCAAGCAGACCCAAATCAGTTAAAAGGAAGGTCAAGCCCAGTTTGTGAATCCAACCCGGCCCAAGGTCCAAGGAGTCCAAGAAGAATTAGAACACATGGGGAGCAATTATCGGGGTACTCCCTTTCGAAGATCAAGACAACCTTTTATGGAAATTATCTTTTGTAGACACCCGGAGAATTAATACTTTTATCCTCAAGTCACAGCCTTAACCAAGGCCTAGTGCCTATAAATTGTAAGTCCTCTCTACATGAGAGGATACATTGAACTCTACCTCTACACCTCTCTACACACACATATCTTTTCTCTCTCCTAGCTATCGTATCTCTCCCGGAGCTAGCCATTGCTCTCTCTCCTGTTCACCTTACTTTATCAACAAAGGTCCCTCGGTCACCGTTACCGTTTCTCGGAGTGGAATAGGCCACCCAGACTGAACCACTGTATATCTGCGTGTTGACCCGATATTTACATTATTGTCATTGATTGCTTTATTTGTGCATTAATTATACTTTGTCACACACTTGACTGTTGATCTTGCATGAGACTATTTTGTGCATCAACACATTCTACCAATGGTGTCTCGGTGCTTGATTGATTCGTAGGAAGTGAGGGACTAATGTGAAGGTGCGGGCTCATACCCCATGACAAGTCTACGGTGTATCAAGAGCTTACAACCACGTCTGCACTCAACCTAGTTAAACCAAACACTTTACACTACAAGGAGGAATGAAGGAGAGTTGATTTAACATACCTAAGAGAAAATCTCCCTTGGATTAGCCAACTAAAAGCTTAGCTACTCATAATGGATGCAAAGACATACACAATGTAAAGAGACATGGTGAAGAAATGAAGATTAAAACTTATATTAATGCAAAGAGAAGTTAAACTGCAAAGACAAATTCATTTCATATCCAAAAGTAAAGCTTAGAAGGGAAAACCCACATGTAAACATGGTAGATACAAAAATATGTAACTAAACTTGAAATACACTTGAAATAAAGGAGATTAAAGTACAAGAAGTAAAGATTACAAGTGATTTAAAGCTTACTACAACTGAAATGGAGAAGAAAATGCAAAAATCTAACTTTCTCTCTCTAGTACTTCATTTTCTTCCTTGAGATTCTCTCTCTAAAAGTAAGTGTGTATCTGAATAATTTGTGTAAGACTCCCCCAATTTTGTCCATAACCCCCCCTAAGGTTTGTGAGAGTTGACTTACCATCATTTGGAAGGGTTTGGACACTTCCTCCAGCAAGGACAGGCCATGTTTTGCCTTTTCCATGCTTCCCCAACCACTCTCTTTCTCTCTCTTCCTCTTCCATGATTTTTCTTCCAAAGACAGACCTTTGGTGTAATAGAGTATGCTTGCATGTAGAATATGTCAGGGTTCCAGTAGGCAAAACCTACTGGTAGGTTTTGGCAGGGGCAGCAGTAGAATATTTTCAATGTACAAAACCTACTGGTAGAATGTCAACAAAACCAACTGGTAGGTTTTCACCTATTTTGGCTTTTTCTTGATTTCTTGCTATCTCGAGCCACCCGTTCAGCCTCCCCTTCTTGTTCATTGTCTTTACGCACATGATGGAAGGCTTAATACGTGCCATTACCTACTCTTTACCTACAATCACACAAAACTCCATTAATTGAGAGATTAAATGCAATTTCCCCCATTTTCTCCATAAACATAATTATAAAATGGGTGCAAAAAGACAAATGATGTGCAATATTCTATGCTCATCACATCCCCAACTTTAGTTTTGCTAGTCTCTAGCAAACTTTATTTCCAAAACTTAAAGCATAAAACTAAAACTAAAAACAATCCATTCATGCAAATCAAATCACCAAACAATCAAAATGCAAAAATCACACTGCGATTAAACAAATGAACTTAGCACGATGGAACAAAAACAACTGTGGTTCTTTCATTCATTACTTCAAAGATTTAAGTACAAGGAGTAGAGGTCAAAAGCAAAACGGTCTAAGATCCTGGACAAACTCTTTTACTATTTCATTTACTCTACTCCTATCTGTGTAACTACAAAAACAAATAAAACAAAAGGTCACTCTACTCATCATCCTCATCTCCAGTCCCTTCCTCATCACTCTCATACTCACTTTCCTTTGGATCATCAGAGTCATCATTGTCGGAGCCTTCCACCTCAACAACAGTAAAAGCCATAGGGGCAGAGGTGGAGGGTCCATCAATAGGAGGCGGAGGCATATCGAGTATCGGATCTCTCGAGAAGGTGTGCTCATATATCGTCATCATCATTAGGGATAGTTGATGTATAGTCCCGCCTAGGTCATCCATCCTTCTCCCCATAGTGTCCAAGCGCTGAGAAATGGTGCGAGGTGGGGCAATGGTGGATGGCCTGGCAGTGGATGGCTCAGGTCTCGATGCTCTGGCTCTCTCACCCTCACTCATTTCAATCGTCTTACTGCTACTGGACTTCCCGGTAGCTCCAAACACCATGGGTAGCAACACATCGAAGCCATAGGCATTTACCTTAGAGTGATAGCACAACCTTGTAACCAAGTTGGCGAAAGGGAGATTCGCCTTCGACTTGCTAGCCTTGGCAAACTCCTTCATGAAATCCCAAATCAACAAGGCCACGTCCATCCATTTTCCTGTCATGAAGGCGTGGAGGAGGGCAAACTTCTCTTCCCCTAGGGCCTTCTCTGCACCCTAGGGTAGTAGGTTGTAATGTAGGACTTTGTTCATCACCCTGTATGTGTGCTTAAGGCCCCTGGATTGAATTTTTCCCTTGAATTGTGTCGGGTCCTCATGCATCAATTGCACGTACTCCAAGAGTGATTTCCTCCTTTGGATATTGTGTGGATAAACTAGGGTATTGGGGGGAGGCCTCTGGTGCTTCATGAAAGCTGTTATCACGTCTGGGGTAACGTCAAATCAAAAATGGCCCATATGCTTGTTTGGTACGGGCCGTGTAAATCAAAAATGCCTCAAGGGCCATGAAGGGTAGAAACCACATCCAAAATGCCTCAGAGAGATCAAGGGGATCATGAGCATGCTTACCTAGACGAGCCATTGCAATGGATTCCAAGCTTTTGAGGAAAACCAAAGTGAAATGGATTTGGGGAAATTCTTTGCGAGAACTATGGTTTTGTGACAAATCCAAGCAATTCGCAATGAAATCCAAGTAATAATCGACCTTAGTGATGCTTTGAGAGAGATTAGATGGAGGGTGAGGAATCTTTGAAGGTTAGGGGAGTTTTTGAGAGAGATTAGAGGGCTTGAAAGATCGAGAGTAGAGGAGAAAGTGAAAGGTTTTTCCAAAAAATCAGTCTTAAAACCCTCGTTTTTTGGGTTTTTCGGCAAAACCTATCGGTATAACGATCAAAACCTACCGGTAGAATAATCAAAACCTACTGATAGGTTTTGACAGACATCTACCGGTAGGTTTTAGCTTTTTTCCAAAAATTCCATGTGCTTCCATTTTCATTCCCAATCCAATTTCACTCACTCTCTACACATTCTAACAATCTATTCACAACCTCTACTCCACCAAAAACCTAAACTACAATTGTGAACCACAATTGAGTGATCATGCCCAAAGTCATTATGAAATTACAATATGATTTAAAATTTTGATGCTTTCAAAAACACAAAACATGGGTTTCTAAATATAAATACCAAAATGAATACCCAAATTGTAAAGCACAGATTTCAATGGTAAAGGCATTCCCAATCCTTCATAATATCTAAAGTTTGAGCAATATTCCCCCAATCTCGCAATCATAGGGCTACATGACAACACTGTTCAAATACCCGAACAAAGTACACATGAGCATCACCATGATTTTAAATGTTTTTCTAGAGTATGCACCTACACATTCATTTTCAAACTCGTGTGTGTGTGAAGTGGACATGTAATTTAAGCATTTACCCAACGGAATTCACATTCACTTGACTATCCAAATTCAGCTTCGATGCAAAACTCGCCAAGGGTTTCTCTCAGCAATGAATCATACTATAATTATCCTGGCATGCTCTCCATGTGTATATGTGAGATAGAATCTTATGCACAGATCGAAGTATGCTCACATATAATCAAAAATGAAGCAGATGCATAAAAATGAAACAACCTTGGCATAATCTCATGAAATGAATATTAGAGCACTAGATAACAAAATCAAAATTTCTTTTTTTTTAAAGGTGTGCCTTCCCCATGCTTTCTCTAGATCATTTAGGGCTTTTAAGGGTTGTAACGAGGCCTTGGTGTGATATTGAGACAAATGAAATGAATGAAAGAGGATAACAAAGAGGGTTATTTCGAGGCATGACCTTTATTGTCAACAATT